TTGACTATGAAAAGCAGGATTCTTCTTATTAGGATAGGCGAAAGAAATCGTTATACAGGACTTTAGTTTTCAGTTGAAACTTCATTACCTTATATGAAAAAAAGTGTGACATTTCTCAGAAGAAAAAAAAAACCGATAACAAACGGGGGGGCCATAGACTGGCGGAGCAATCTACCGTGGAGATCGCTAATAGTGAGGTGATTTGTACCGGTATCGGCGCACGGTAATCTCTCGATAAATCTTGTGTTTTACAGCTGGTGCTCGGACGATAAGAATCGCGTACGCCACGTGGGGCGGGAGATAGTGATGTACACCATTACAGTTTTATAGTCACGATGAATATGAATACGTATATTTTTTTATCGTATAGTAAAATATAATAAAGTTTATCTATTTATTTATGTACACGAAAAAAAGGGCTTCCATAAGTTTTAAATAGTTTAATCTCAGTTCCACAAACTTCCATTGAAGTTTAACGAGAACTCAAAGCTCTAATGAACGTTCTAATTTTGAAATTTTGTGTCGGTATTGTCGCTTTAAACTAATGAAAATTTTAATGGAGATTTATGTAAAACTTATCAAATATGATGTAGTTTTTGGTAAAGTAATAAGTTCGAATGAGTAATGGGATGAGATGATATGACAATGATAGGTAATGAGAAACAACCAAATAACAATATAGTTTGTAAAACTATGATATTTCTACAGTGACTCCCATACCCCTTCAGTGCCTGTAAGTATGTTCACCGTACGTGCACAAACAAAAACAAACCACCACTAACTAAGAAGTAGCTAAATGTCTTAATTTTACGGTTCTAATGGACTTAGGATAGATAACGTCGACTTTGCATTTAATACTTTCATATTTTCTGTTATTGTTTTTGTGTATACACCTGTCAGAAAATGAAACTAACATAGTGCAATGTTTCAGAGTAGGCCCCGGGTTGGATGGTCGCCAATCCGACAGTGAAAACTATTCCAATACTTTCTTAATGAGTTTCATTAAAAATAGAAAGTATGTTTACTTTAGGACATTAGTATTTATAACACCGATACGGCTCACTTCTAATAAAATTCTTTTGAGAAGAATTAAGTACTATGGTATAAGATCACTCATACTTAGTCGAGAGAAGTAATTACTTGAGAAAAGTCATAACAGAATTTGAATAAAGTAAGACTAATATTATTATTAGCTATTAACAGTTTTTACTTCAATCAAACTATTGTTTTTTTGTTAAAAATGGCGGCTTATGTTATATATGACACATTCTCACGTAATTACTTCGACTATAGATACGGGTGTTAGAAATAGAATTAGTTGCATATATCGTAATTATGAGGGAGGACCGAGAGTCCTGTTAGGAGGGATGAGGATCCTGGGCCCTCGATCATGGCCTCCCAGGTCTCATTCCCTAGTAGAGGGCACCGTAGGGAATTTGGCGGGTAGGTCTCTTGTGACGGAGGAGAGTTCCACACTCTTTCTAAAATTCTGTATTTTTCTACTTTGCTGCTATTATAACACTCTGATCCGAGACAATTTAGGAGAGTTCATTTTATACATTGACGCGACTGAGAATCGAATCTGGGACCTCACGCCTTCCTTGAAACCGCCGTGCGAGCAAATAATAAATATTAAGATATTATTTTGTTTATAAAATCAATTATTAACGGATAAATGTTTTGCGTTTCGCTGGCAGCTTCCATTGAGATAAAAAAAAATAAACAAACAAAAGAAATCTCCTCAAAATTAATATTTCCCCCGAAATAAGGTTAAGTATGTATTTTTGTGCTATATATTGTATACATATATCGCACACCCACTCACTGTAATATAAATGTCATTATTAAATGAAATAGATGATGCGAGGGGAGTAGTAGCCTGAATAATCTAAAGCTGTCCGATAATATTTGTAAAATGGGGAGAGATACAAAGATATCGGTCACCTAGAAATATAATATGAACGTTTGAATTGTTTGAAATTTAATTTTACGCTCGCAAAGTATTCGGGTAGATTTCATGGTGTCGTAGACATGTTTTTGGTCAAAATAAACGAGTTATATATTCAATGATAATAATAATAATATCCATTTATTTTTCTCTTCACAATAGTACAATATTGAATAATATTTTTAATTATACATACTTAAATTTAAACTAAATGTGAGAGACTGGAGCCTGTAAAAGATACCATAGGTATCTGTACTAAACAGGTCACCAATGATGATAGTGCGCGTTAAAATTTTAATTCATTAAATATCCTGTATACATGTTTATCGATTATTCTTGATAAAAGGATATATTACGAGAAGAATTGCATGAAAATTGTGAATCCTTTTTAAAACACGTTTTGGCGCTTATTTTGTATGGGGTTTTATCACAGTTCATAACAGTTCGTACTTCACGACGCCTTTTTTTATGTCGCAATGTTATGACCAGTGGTCGGAATTAGGTAGAGTTATTCATGTACTTACACTGATTTCATACAGCGAAAGAATAAAGTGGATATGCCTTAAATCCCGAGATTAATTTTAAAGAGCAGAAAAAATCCCGTGATTTTTTTAATAAAAAGTTATTTACTTTTACACAATTTAAACTACTGCACGCACGACGTTGTCAAACTTACATCAATGAAAGAAAGAAATAAAGCAAGAAGGAACAAAGAAATCCCGGGAAGGTCCACATTAATATCAACATTTCGATGCAAGTACATAAATAACTCTACCTAATTCCGACCTCTGGTTATGACGTAGAACGGCGAATAGTAAAATCTTTATTTTGTATAATTATATACTTACCGTATATTCAAAACACTTAATTTTGAAAGTCAGAGTCATCTTAAGACCTATCAATTTTTTTATGTATATTAATTAACAAGGCTATTTACGTCTGTTTGTTCGTAACGTAACGTACGTAAAAAATAGTAGTAATGTTTGTTGTAAAAATAAATCTGTTTTATTCCGAATCATTTATTATAGTTTTTTTACGTAAAATTTTACGTTAAGTTACATTTTGTTAGTGAGTTCGTTTCTACGTGAACGAAACATTTTTCGCCTTTGGGCTATGGTCCTTTTAACACTAGGGTTAATTAGAGTTAGTACGCCCTTGAAATCGATGATTTATGAAGAGGATTTTAGAAGTATAACTCGTACGAATTAACATGACACCTGCGGACCTATTCTATTTGATCTCGAACCAAAAATGAGAAATTTTGAATCGTTCTCATAATCTTGTTAAATTTATATCCGTGAAGATTGTCTGTGCAGCATCAGAGGCAGTGTCAGGTCATACTCCTTTTAGTATTAGCATTTCGAAAATAACAGATTCTCGTTTTTTGAGAAATAAAATAGGCTTTCAGGTGTCATTTTAATTGATACGAGTAGTAGGTCTAATCCACCAACTAATCTGAAGTCTAAAAATTATTTACAAACTAAGCACAACACTAGAGAGCCGTCAAGTCGATATATCAGCAGGGTCTTCTTCCTCGCGATCGTGTCGCTGATAAATATTACTTAAAACACCGAACGTTTAACATCTTGCCTCCTCGACATGTCTCACGTCTCTTTCACACTTTAAACCAACCTTACAAACGAGAGAGACGGATAGACCGCTCGAAGTTCGAAACAAAGCCGCGATGACTTGAATTGTCTCTGGTAAAACTTTATAGTAAATCTTTTGTTGTGTCAGATTGAGCGATGCTTCGAGTATTACGTGAGGGTATTTCTGGTGATAAAAATATGGACAATTTATTACGGTGACCCCTTTAAAGATTTAGGATTTGATTCTGTTGACAAATTAATTGCTCAGGTCTTGTTTTTTAACAAGTCCATAAATATACCAGAGTTATATTTTAATATATATTCTAATAAAAAACAATTTAAAATGTTTTATTTGAAATAAATGTCTCATAAAAAAAGTCTAATAAAATTACTGTAAATTTTCTTTATATGATTTTTTTATGAGTGATCTTATCATCCATACGGTATGGAGCTAAAAGGGGATGTTAGGTGGAAAAGCCAAAAGCTACAATTTTAGAAATGTCACAGTCTTTTAAGTCATTGAAAGAATTTATATAAAAGCAACCACACGAATATCTGTCAGTTATAGTCAGAAGCCTCAATCGTATTATAAGGTAGTATGGATAATTATGGTTTGGTTACCCAATTTAAAAGATATATGCTGTAAAAATTTTTTTGATTGATGAAATTTACGAGCCGCGACTTTACTTGCGCTCACGAGTTGCAGGTTTTCGAACCTTGGTCTAGGCGGCAGTTGGAAACAAAATTTCGCCGATAGAAACCGAGTTCCCACCGAGCTCAGCTTTGTTGGTTTATAAGCGTATTTATCACTCTTAACCAATATTAAATTTACAAATTTTAATACGTATTTCATTTGTTTCAGATCGAGTATCTTCCTCGTGAAATCTATTCTCATCTAAAATGAGAAAAAAGAGAAAAGACAGAATAATAACCTAAAACCACGTAAAGAAAGCATTCAAAAGAATTGAAACGGCATAAAAACAATAAAAATAAATCAACTCTAACCAGACAGAGACTGGGCATTCTGTAGTGAATATTTAAAGAATATTAAAAAGCATCACAAAGAAAAAAAATGTATTAACCAAGAAGTGTGTGTACCTAAAAAAGAACTCGTTCGCTTTTAAAAAGAAAACAAACGGCCCCTTTTGAATTCCGAAACGCAAATAAGTAATCGACGTTAAATGGTGATTGCTTTTGTTTAAACATTTTGGGACTGCTGCCTTTGCCTGTTTACTTAGCTGCCTCTAAAGAGGATTTAAAAAACAAAACAGTGAAAGAATAAACAAAAATTCGAATGTGGACTACCATTATTTGAAATAAGAACTTCGCCGGAGAAGTTGTATATATATTTTTTAATTATCAACAAAGATTATTGAGTGCGTTTTGTATTTGTGATAATTTGAGGTCATTTTCGGTGGTGTTTATATTGTGGTGTCAAAGTGGCTGGAGACGAGCATTTAGACATGTTGGGGGGCCCTGAGTGGGGGCAGCGGGAGGCCACCCCACCTAGAGACGCCCCCCTACCGAGTTTTGGATTTACACAGGAGCAAGTCGCGTGTGTATGCGAGGTGAGTAGCTTTCGTCTTTTTTATTAATTTCTTATGGGTCACCTATTCATTTTAAAAAGTTAACTAAATACGGCCACGCTCCGATACGTAAAGTGAAACATTTTATTGATAAATCTATAGACTAGGTACTTTCTGTGTTTTGCGGCCAGACGTAATTTACGTTGAATTTTTAGCTGGAAGAAAATAATCATGTTATAAAATTTACATTTATGAACCTCCTTAGTTGATAATGATTTATAAACATTTATCTATGTTTATAAAAAAATATCAACAACGTATAAATAATTAATACAACGTGTAACAGAAATAACGCACATCCTTATACATCCCAATTGGAAAATGCATTTATAAACATAAAACGATAATTGGAATTTTACTTTTATGTACTAAAACATTGTTTATGTATGGATGTCTATGACATAATTAGTTATACTATTTATAATGACAATTGATTCCATTGCTTTAAATTTGTTTTTGGTAAATCAATGTAGAAAGATAGAATTGGTAATTCAAAATTGTTTGGTTGAATGAATGTATTTAAATCGTATAATGGCCTCCTACGTGAATTTGGCAGTATTGTAGTGACACAAAGTGCCATTAAAGTTAAGAAGAAGAAAAATATATATACGATTATTTCCAAAGTCTTACATTTTCATTTCATTTTATTTTGTTATTGACAAAATTGTTTTTTCTTTAACAAATAATAACTTTATTATCTTTAGTTATAACATTATCTTTATGAATAGCTAGTAGAATAACGACAACATACGCAGGAAGCTTTCGTTACGCAGCAACAAGATGCTGGAATAACATTCCACCACCTTTAAAAACCATTCCTCTGTATTCACAATAAAAAGTAGATTACATGATTTTTAATTACAAAATAAAATGTAAGACTTTGGAAATATTCGTATATATATTTTTAAAACAATGGAATCAAAAGTAAAACTACTTATGTCATAGACAATGGACACAGTTATATTGATTGCTTTTTTTTTTTAATAATTTATTCTTGGCTTGGATGTTTGTCCTTTAGCCGAAACATATTACAATCACATTTACAAAATATAATATACTATCTTATAATATATTGATTGCTGGGTAAAAGTGTGGACATCTTACAAATACACATAATGACGTCAAAATAACGGCTTAGCCTGCAACTACAAACGTACTTACATACCCCACTTACCTACCAATAAAAATTCTCGACATGGAGTTATTCTGTTTCGAGATTCAAAGTGTTATTTAAGTTTAGACAATAATTATGATTCTTACTTATTGTGAGTATCGGCTAGGATAGTCTTACGATCATATATCACTTCATATACGGCGAGCACAGTATCACTTTTTACTGTACGTTAGCATAAAGAGGAATCGTCGCATGTGAAATTGAAAATTGCTAAACTTATTCTTTTTCTTTTATTAATGGCTTGATAAACTTAATTGCGACAAAATAATCATCCTCTGCCACTGTTATGTTTGTCATATATTTCATGTTTGTTTGTGGTCTATTATTTTTCTCTTTGTTTATGAATTATTTTCTCCTTGGTTTACGAACTTGTGCATCATAGCATTTTAGACTCAAGCCACGTTAAAGAAAGCTCATTTTTCTTTTTTTTTGCAAGTTAAGAATATAGTGCATTTTAAAACGCCATATATTTTTCGTTTGTGGCGGATGTAAGAGCGCTTGTGCACTACACTGAATTTTCAGGTCTGGCGGTCCAATTTTTCCGGTCCGATGTGTCAGGCCATATATAGGTAATGCTAGCCTGTGCACTGTCAGGAATTTTACCGCCCGGGATTTTACTTTTCTTCATTCCGGACCGGTTTTTCAGGTCCGTGATGGCGGCAATGAAAAACGTGTTTACGTTTGTGAACTGCTGTGTCCGCGATCCGGAAAATTCATAAGGAACAGGCATTGGAAAAAATAATCGATTTTTGTAAAATCGATATTTATTTGAGCGATATTTTTAATTTCCAATAAACGAATAATCGATATTTACTGTAGATGATAAAATGCTATATTTTATATGCTGATTTAACATAGTTGGTAAATATCACTGCATATGCTTTGGCAAACTCGGTATAGTTCTAATTTGATCAGCGTATGGTTCTAGTATCGATTCTTAGCTAGATTTTAGAATCGTATTAGAAGTATCGATAACTTAAGGTAAGATAAATAAGTGTTGTCACGCTTAGACGCCTAAACAACTGAACCCATCTTAATGGAAATTAATATAGTAATAGACTTAACTTTAAGAAACTACATTACATTTTATCGCGAAATATTGGGAATGAAAGTTTACCTGGAAATTTCTCATTATCAAAATCCTCTTAGACAATTGATAAGTATAGATAAATATTTGATAACAGAAGTAAGTAAGTGACACTCAATGTCATTTTCGCATTTAAGTCTATATTGTAATAAAATTTGAAATTACTGTCATAAAATAATAAAAAAAAAGAAGTATTCTAAGGGAAAAAAAAATTTGCTCAAAGAAACTACACCACGCGTATAAAATTATGCCTATACATAATACAGTCAACTGATCTCGTAAAGTTCATTTAGCATATTAATTTTCCACTTCGACGGCACTAATATCGATTTGTTTACGAAATGGCGCCACCGATTGGTCTATTTCTGTAATCGCTTAAAGTTGTTTTACCAAAACTTCGAAAATAAATAGCATTTATAAATTTAAACATCAAGAACTAGACCATTATCAGTAATTTTATCCTAATGTCACAGATATTTTTAGCGATTGTATGTGAATAATGCTGTCCCTAAATTAGTAAGGGTATGAGTTTTTACATCTGATAGTAGTCATAGTAGTAAAAAAAATGCTTTCGTCTTGCCTCAATTTATTATGGTTTATGTAAAATGATCAGGTCATTATTTAGGTACCTTTCTACGTCTTCGAACGGAATTACCGACGTTCCAAAAATCTCATCGTACCTAGCGTAAGTGACATGTAGCTTCAAAAAGAGCTGCCCTACACTGCGCCGCTCCGATCAGGAAAAAAACGGACAAGTGCACAAGCTACTCCGGGTTTTTCATGTCATTCCGGACCGGAAAAAAATCGGACCGGCGGACCTGATAATTCAGTGTAGTGCACAAGCGCCCTAATGGTTATAGGTGACCATAATTTACTTGATTGAAATTTAGCAAAAAAAAATACCTGTATGAGAAGTTGTGTAAATCGAATCAGTATCTGATATCAAACAAACCATTTGAGGATGTGAGTTAATTATGTTACACGTTTTATATAAATCGATAATTATCACAAGTCGACTTAAAAGCTTTTCGTCTTCCGAAGCTGTCTATCTAACTTTCAAAACTATATATATAAGTAGTTGTCACTTTCAATAGAGTTTAAGAGATAATAATCATCATCAACCCTTCTGGGCCCCACTGCAAGGGCCCAGGCCTTCCTTATGGATGGTTAAGGAGAATGGGCCATGACCCTCCACGCTGGTCCAATGCAGATTGGAGAATATTAACGACTGCAAATGCAGCCGGGACCAACGGCTTAACGTGCCTTCCGAAGCACGGAGTACCTCGAGATAATAATTTTTTGGTCACCCATGCCGTGACTGACGCTTGCGAAAGTTGCTTTTAACAACAACGATCGTAGGCCTCGGCGTTTATCTACTACGTCACCGAGCTACCTACTGAAACATTAAGAAAGTACGGTGTACGGTAATAAATAAAGTACGCTCTAGTACGGCGGTACGAATCGTTTCTGTACACTGTAACTTTACAATAACTTATAATGTAGTGAAAGTAGTGGTTTAATAAAGATTTATCTATCTATCTTAAGTTAAATGCTTAATATTTTTATGAGTCGACGCTATTTTCAGCTCGCTTTATAACAATCTATAAACGTGGACATATAAACAGCCTATGTTATTTATTATTACTCGCCGTAACCCAAACAAACTGTTTAAATATATGTATATCACATACTTCGCAATCTTTGTTGCGTTTGCGCAACACGCGATAGAGAATTATGACTTATTTATGTGACAATTTACAATACGGAAGAATAGTACTTACAGGATAGCTTTATATCGCACGTTAAGAACGATAGTGACACAATGCAAAAAATGTGATTTTCAGTAATGAACGTTCAAAGTTCAAGAAATTGTAATCGGCCCCTCTAAACAACGTATCGTCACTACGCCACCTAGCAGTTTCTACGCAAGCTATGTTCACAGGGATCTTTGCATTTTAAAGTTTATACTTAACAAAGAAAAATGTTGCCAAAAGTAAAAAATACGTTCGATATATTGTTATGGTTATTATATAATACCGATGAAAATCGAGCTCCTCTATAAGTGATGTGTAGTTTCAATAATAAATAAATATTATACAAAATGCATGCATGTGGTATTTGTCAGTTTTCAAATTAAGTTTCTAAAGCACTTGTAAGTATTATGGAAATATCAATCAACGAAGGTAATACAAACATAATGTGAAAAGTACTTTTTTTACATTGACTCCATCGGGATTTGAAATCGGGTCCTCAGACAGACACTCGGCCACAGTGGCAGTGATGATATCCAATTATCCATCCATGCAGTTTTGCTATTGTATAATAAAATAACCTTTGAACTTGACCTCGGAGTACAGCCCTGTCACAGAATAGAGATTCTACATAATAAAACATTTATAACTTTATGAAAATCAGTATTATTTGATTGAACTTCTATGCTGTGACTTAAAGTTGTACTGTAATTTTTTATAGAATGGCACTGCTGACCTTGAAGCGAAAGAGAATGCGTCAGTTAATGGCAATAGTAAGTTTTCCCATATGGGAATGGTGTTACGTATCAGCATGGACTAATGGCATTAGTTTTTATTACCTAATGATAAGTATACACGCGCATCATTTAATTATTAAACGACTTGACAACGCGTGTTGATGTCTAAACTAATGGTATATCAGGCTCTGTAACACTCATGAAATTAGAGCTGATTTCATGTCAATAAACAA